ATTAGCTGGGTGTGGTGGCACATGCCCAACTCAGCTACTCGGGAGGCTGAGGCAAGAGAATCGCTTGAACCAGGGAGTCGAGAGTTGCAGTGAGCCGAGATCGCGCCACTGGCAACAGAGCAAGACTCCACCTCAAAAAAAAAAAAAAAAAAAAAAAAAGACTGGGGTTCAGAAAAGTTAACTGGTTCAGAATCAATTCACTGGTAGCTAGTGTCAGAACTGGGACTCCCTGATTACGAAGTCAAGTCCAAGTTTTGCCATTTACTTTTTTGGTAAACTTTGAAGCATTACTTTATCTCCTGGCTTTTTAATTTCTTGGTCCATGAAACAATAACTTTGCAAGACTGCAGTGAAAATGAATTACTTAAAGTGTCCCTGCCCCCAGTGTGACCATCGTTATTGTTTGTAGACTGAAAAACATAGGTATATGAATAACAAGAGCTATATTTTTATCTACCACCAAGAAGTTTAAAATCTGGTTGGGGCCGGGCGCTCTGGCTCACACCTGTAATCCCAGCATTTTGGGGAGGCTGAGGCGGGTGGATCACGAGGTCAGGAGTTCAAGACCAGCCTGACCAACATGGTGAAACCCCGTCTCTACTAAACATACAAAAATTAGCTGGGCGTGGTCACGCATGCTTGTAATCCCAGCTACTCAGGAGGCTGAGGCAGGAGAATCGCTTGAACCCAGGAGGTGGAGGTTGCAGGGAGCCGAGATCGTGCCACTGCACTCCAGCCTGGGCGACAGAGCAAGATTCCACCTCAAAAAAAAAAAAAAAAAAAAAAAAAAATCACGTTGGGGGAAATGGTCTATTACCGTATTATCAATGCTGTATTTTTGAAGCTACTAATGTGCTTATGACATACGAAAAGCAGTACAATAATTTGATTTAAATTATTTAAGTAGCTATCTTTTTAAGCCTCTTTCCCTAGCCTTCACAGCAATTCACTGGAACAAAAAGAATGTTTATTTTCAAAAATTAGAGAAAGAAAGTGTTTAGGTGCTTTCTTCCTTTTGAGTTTTCATTTGTTTACTTAGTATAATTATTAAGATTGAATAGGTCTTTTGGTTGCCAGATTCACAAAGAACACTTAGGTGACTCAGAGAAACAAAATAATATCAAGAATATAAACTGTGTAACTCAGCCTTGTCTTTAGAAACAATGTTGAACCATAGTAAAGGAGATCAGTGCTTTCTAAAGACAATAGATATATAGGATGTAAACCAAAGAATAAGCATTTCACAGTCTTACACAAACTTAGTGTTTACAAGGTATTAACTACCTTAATTAGATGAGATTTAGTGGATTTTGTTACATTTTTTAGCTTATTTGCTTTTCATATAGGCAAAAGATTATGATAATCCAGTTTTTATGGTACTTTACAATGCCATTGGGGATATGTGAACAAATATCTTAACCAAATTTTAGTTTATGTGCCTTCCCTCCCCTCCAAGGGTGTAATCTCTTTCCATTTCTCTTTCTTTTTTTCTCTCAGGCTCTGCACGGAATTTTCCTCTGCTCTTCAACCTGATGGTGTAACACATGATCACGTGTTCGTTGTCTTGTTTTCCTCTGGGTCGCAGGGGTACTTCTATTTCCTTTTCCTTTTTCATCTTTTCTCTCATTATGGTCTCTAACAAGATCCTCTCCAGGGTCCCTCTGATCTCTGTGCTAACAGGAAAGCACTGGAATGATGGAAAAGAAGACAAAGAAAGTCCCAAAAGCAGCTGGGAGTCCTTGGTTCAAACCATCTCTATGGAAACAATTCCACAGAGATAGGTCTGGAAACAATTCTGTAGGGATCACTGGAGCAGTGGTGAGCCAGTCTCACCAAGCCTTATTTACAGGATACAACTTGCAAATGGGAATAGTTGACAAGATGTTGTTGTTGTTGTTGTTGTTGTTTTAAGAGAAGTAGTAAAATAGGAAGCCAAATAAAATGTACATTTATGACTATGTAGCGTTTTTTGTTTTGAGACGGAGACTCGTTCTGTCACCCAGGCTGGAGTGCAGTGGCACGATCTCGGCTCACTGCAACCTCTGCCCCACCAGGTTCAAGCAATTCTTGCGCCTCAGTCTCCCAAGTAGCTGAGATTACAGGCATGTGCCACCACGCCCAGCTAATTTTCGTAGTTTTAGTAGAGACAGAGTTTCACTATGTTGGTCAGGTTGGTCTCAAACTCCTGACCTCACATGATCCACCTGCCTTGGCCTCCCAAAGTGCTGGGATTACAGGCATGAGCCACCACACCCAGCCTATATAGTGTATTTTTTAACTCAAAACTTCCTACTGTAACAATAAAAAGGCAAAAGGAATGTGTAAACCAATTTCAAGTCCTTCCTGAGCATGCACATTGGCAAAGAGTGCCTAATGCAAAGAAATTATGGCAAGCAAGCAAGCAGCAGTTTGGTAGTGAAAAATCATTCATGTCATTAGAATGATTTTCAGATTGTCACCCATAACCACACAAAATATGCGGAAGGAATGCCAAATTCAATCAGGCAGTAAAACAAATTGAATGCAAGCAAGGAGTGAAGGAGATTACAGAATTCCATCTACCAAATCAGTTTGAAAGACCGAAAGGATAAAAATAGCCATGTAACTTGAACCCAGGAGGACCAAGGGAAGAACTCCATCAGAATTGTGGGAGCTTAGAGTCTTATTAATACAGCAATTATTTTTTTAAAAGGACGGAGAGGGGTTGGGACTCACAGTGTCAGTGATAATGGGACTATAAAGTTTCAGGCCTGTTCAAAAAGTCTCCAGCCAATAAGCTAGTAACCACAGGTCTCCTGAAATGGTAACTCCAGTGTTAATTAGGTGACATAACCTCAATTTTCCAAAAATGATGTCTGTTTCCTTAAGTTATAGATACTTGTAACCTCGCGAAGATTCATAGTGTTTTAAGACCCTGGCCCTTGGGTAAAACCATATGGGCTCCAATTCTAGCTCTATCACTCAACTGTGTGACCTCGGGCAACTATTTTCACTTCTCTAGGACTTAGGCACTTCATCTATAAAATGAAGATACTTATTTTTCAGGGTTGTAAGAGTACAGTGTGTAGGTTATGCTACACACTGTATTCAATTTGCTGACTATTTACAACTCTGAAAAATAAATATGAGCCATTGTTATTACAGCATCATTGTTTGGTTTTCTATCTCTTTTAATGATGGTAACACTCTCCTTTCTGCCTTCCACTCAGTACTTTTAGGGAGTGGGCCATTGTGGGTATGTGAGCACCATGTTCTTACCGCCCCACACTCATCTTAGGCAGGTTTGAGGATGAATTAAAGCCTTAAAATGTCTTACATCCTACACACTGCAGATCTCATGGGAGAAAAAATTATACATCCTCCTACGTTGCTAACACCTCTCAACCTACCTCCAACAGACTTCCCAATGTCTGTACCACAAAGTTCAAAGTCTTTTGGCCAGACATTGAAGACTATCTACAATCTAGCTTCACCCACATTTCTAACATTACGCCATCTTCCTGAAGCTTTGCACTGGAACTTGCACTGATTTTTTTTTTTTTTTGTGGGAGGGTGTGGGACGGAGTCTCGCTCTGTCACCAAGGCTGGAGTGCAGTGGCGTGATCTCGGCTCACTACAAGCTCCACCTCCTGGGTCCACTCCATTCTCCTGCCTCAGCCTCCTGAGTAGCTAAGACTACAGGGACAAGCCACCACACTCGGCTAATTTTTTTTTTTTAAGTAGAGACAGGATTTCACCGTGTTAGCCAGGATGAACTTGCACTGATCTCTTTACCAGGCTTCCCCTTAACTCTTCGCGCAGAAATTCGGTTTTTTTGGTGGTTGTTGTTTGTGAGACAAGGTCGCCCGGGCTGGAGCGCACTGGTGCAATCACGACTCACTGCAGCCTCAACCTCCAGGGCACAAACCATCCTCTTGCCCAGCCTCCCGAGTAGCTGGGACTACTCGGGAGTCCCATCTACTCCCGTGCGCTGCCATCACGCCCAGCTAATCTTTGTATTTTTTGTAGAGACAGCGCCTCACTATGTTGCCCAGGCTGGTCGCCAACCCTTAGGCTCAAGCGATCCTCCCGCTTCGGCCTCTCAAAGGCGTGAGCCACCGCGGCCGGCCTTTTTTGGAACTTAAAAAAAAGGCCATAATGTGTCATTAAGAACCTTAGTGGCATGACTGCAAAACCAAAATGTACTTACTAGGTGTCACTTGAAACCGCAATTTTCAACAACGCAAAACTACAGAAAACAACCCAACGTCGGCCTCCACAGGCTAATCAGTCCCCGAGGCACTGACGGCGGGAGAGATGAAAACGCGAAGGCCAGAGGAGAAAGAGAGGAAGGATTTGCAGAGAGAACGGAAACGTGGACAGGAATTCACCCAAGAAACCCGGGTCCCGCGCGGCGCACCGGGACGAAGCGCGCTGGGGGACGGCCAGCAGCTCCGGGCCAGAAGGAGGCGGACACCCAGCCCGAGAGCCGAAATCGGCCCCGGTGGACGTTTTTATCTTCGCGGCCCAGAAACACTCCTATTTTTCACTGCACAATGCAAACATGGTGGACCAGAAAATCCGCCCCGCGTCTTTGGCCGAACCACGTGGCGCCCTTTCCGCGCCTTCGATGCCGAGCAAGGGCGGGGCCCTCACGGAATTTGTTCACGGTGGGGGCAGATCACCGGAGAACTTCTCCAGACCGCGACAGCACGGTTCCTTCTACACACTGGCAGAACTGTCATTGCCATCGCCCCGAGGCGGCAGAATGGTATGCTCTGAAAACTGGATGGTTCTACCGTAAGCAAGAAAGACTGCACACGGGGCAGCTCTTTAACTGGACCAGCCTCTGCTCTGTCTACCTCGCCCCCAACAGCTGGGCAGCCCACCACCGCGCAGGCGCGCTTCGTGCTGCCAGCGCCAGGCGAACCTTTCCCGTCTCGCGAGAGTGGGGCCGGCCGCCTTCGCAGTTCTCGCTCCGCCCCCCACTTCTTGCTCGCTCCCTCCCATCCCCCCAAGCCAGTTGCTGTGCTGCGCAGCTCCCTAAGCGGTTGTCACCGTTGGAGACGGTTGGGAGAACCGTTGTGGTGAGCGCTACACGAGGCAAACGACTTCTCCCTTCTCTCGACTGGACCCCGCGAGCAGCAGAGTCGGCGTAACTATCGCCTGACAGGGTATCTGAAGTAAAAGGGGGTAGGTTGGGCTGGTGGTTTCCAGAGCGGAGTCGGGAGAAGGACGAAAGAGGCCGGGAGGGGCTGGGTTGGGGGGTGGTGGGGTGGTCGCCGCTCGGAGGCCGCCGCTTGGAAGCGGCGGGGCTGCGCCTCCCGGACCATCTCCCACTTCAAAGAGGGCAGCCTGCCGATGGGAGGACTTGCTCAGGTGGAACTCAGTGGACGACGCCGAGGCCCGAAGTAGGGGACATCCAGCATTTCCCCCTTTCCCTGCTGGCTTGGCCTCCGCCATTTTGGGTACAGTGGCGCGGCCACCTCGGCTTCCCGCCCTTCCCCGCTCTTTTTACTTTTTGTACCCCAGCTTCCGAAAACTGATCTAGAAGGCCAGGGGAGGGGGTGGTCAAAGCTCCCTGGAAGGGATGAGGGTGGGTAGTGAAGCGAGCAGGGAAAAACCGGGCAGTTGGGTGGAGGGAGGACCTGGGTTGCCGGGCGCGCTCCCGATGGAAATGGCGCCGGATGGGCCTGGCCTCCCACCGCGGCCTCCCTTCCTCCGCAGTCTCGGCAGGGCTACCTGGGCTGACGGGACTGCGAGTGACTTCTGACGCAGATTCCCAAGATGAGAGAGGCTGGAGCTGGGGGAGGAAAGCCAATGGCGACGAAGGTGCTCAACTCTCAAATCCAGGACAAAGGAGGCAGACGGCCTCCTTTGTAATTCCGCCGCCCGGTGGCGAAGGGTTTTAAGCCAGGCTTGGCTGCTGGCGGGAGGGGGAAGGGGCGTACTCTCCCTAGCTCTCTGGTCTCTAGGGCAGCTAGATAAACGGAAAGTCTCCTGGGAGGAATAAAGGACGCTTAGCCGGCCCTTATATTCCAGATTTGGAACTTCGAAAAGAGTACGTACTGATTTTCCAAAGGGGTTTTTTTTTTTTTTTTTTTTTCATGTTTAAACGTTAATAAGGACTTCGGGGGTGATTTTGTAAGCAGAAAAGTGGGTGATTTATCAAATAGGAATGTGAAATGGGCATGTTTCAAGTAGGTCGTCTGGGCCCAGTGAACTGTGATTGTTGCTTTTTGAACTTTGGGGGTGGGGGTGGGTGATGTAGCAATTGTTTTGCGTAGTTTGGCATATATATTAGAATTTGCTTTTAAGTTTCACTTTTGGGAAACAGTTAAAACAACCCAGTGATGGTAGATGTGTATGTATTGGAATTGAGTTCCTTTCGATATTAAATCTTCCAAGAGTTGTATTTTGTGCAGTTTTTTTTTTTCTTGGCATTAAGGCTCTAGAAGTAAAATACTTCAAAATACGGTTATGGCTTATTTTCTTTTGGTGTCTAGGCATTTTTTTTTTTTTTAAATGTAGGAGTATAGTACACTGTAATCGTATTCTAAACAAGGGAATAAGCCTATTAAACAGAAAAACAAATTGTAAACCCAGTCACGTGGTGATGGTGTGATTCGGATGAGGGTCCTGAGAACTGGATCCGTAATTTTCATTGAAGACACAGTACAAAAGGGACGGGAAAGGCCTGAGAGTAAGAATTTCTGATAATTCATGTAAAACTTTGTAAGAATATTGTACCTACTTTTCCAGCTCTAAAAACAAAAACTTACTATTGTTGAAGATGTTCAGTGATGCTTTGTCAAGATTGCCAAGGAAAAGTTTACGAAAATCTTACCTTGAAACAGTAGCTTTGAGTGGCCCTTTGAAAAGATAGTCCAGACTGTCCTATAAAGTTATATATGCTATAGCAAATAGCTTTACTAATTGGATTGGACTACACACACACACCTTTTTTCTGTCCTCTTTTTCATTTATGCCATTATCTGGAAGTCCATCCTACTGCCTTTTTAAAATAATATTATCTTTGATTTCGTTGTATTGGTAAACAACTGACTAAATTGCAGTAGATAAAAACACGGTTCATAGTAAACTAACATTTTAGAGACCTTACCTCCTTTAGCTGTTAGGGGTGTGTCTAGTGTTGTTTTTTTAAAGAGCAACCCCATTGGGAAGGAATGATGTACATTTTCTGTTAAACTTAGATCATCAGCACTTTTTCCAAAAAATAAAATTCATTCTCATTTCTTGACCACTGGGCTGCCATTTAGAAAGTTATTTATTGAATGCATCAAATCGTTTATGCATTACTTCAGAAGATAGGCTGTGCCTCCGTGTTAAGAGGATTCTCTATTTCATTTGTTCTCTAGTGGATGTTTTTTCTTTAATATAATTCACATACCATAAACTTCACCAATTTTAAATGTACATTTTAGTGGATTTTAGTACATTGACAGCGTTGTGTGACCGTCACTACAATTTAATTTTATAACATTTTTGTCACTCCAAAAAGATACCAATACCCTTTACTGGTCATTCCCCTTGCTGGCATTCTCCCTCCCGTCAAGCCTCAGACAATCATGAATACAAATGGAGTTATACAATATGTAGTCTTTTGTGACTGGCTTGTTTCACTTGGTGTAATGTTTAAAAAATTGTATTTAAAGTCTCATAAAACTGACCAAAGCCATCTTCATATTTTAACTGTGGTATATTTTATTGGTACTAGCACCTAGAATTCTTAAAGCAGAGTAGTGATTAGCCATGACATTGTTGCAAAGAAAGGTTGAGGTGGATTATCCTGAATAAGTAAAATGTTTTAAGTAGTTTCTGACAGCTTTATTAGAGCGGATTGCTTCTTCCTGTGCCCTTAGAGTTTTTTTTGTTTTTGTTTTGTAGGTAGGATTTTTAGTTTTGAAGGGGTTGGTAGAGTGAGGCTCTCATTATTGTATGTGCTTTGCATACAGGGTCACCCTGTAAAATAGATTGTGTTCCGAATTTGGTTGGGTTTTACGCAATTAAAAATTGTGTTAACAGTTTAGTGTTTATTATAGATAACATCGATAACACTTTTTTGTTTTCATTGCGTCTTATCATTGGTACAGACCGATCCAAAAATCCAATTGGCTTGCTGGTATTTTTTTCTTGTGAATTGCTAAGATTTATGAGTAAAATAATTTTTTTTTTTTTTTTTTTTTTTAAAGCATTTGCTCCTTAAATGCAAACTCCTAAGATCCTTTCACAACAGATTAAGGTTGAATTTGCAGAGTTCTTAAATTTTTCATGAAGCAGTGAGGGTAGATCTGTACCACTTTTTCCGTTCTGTGTAAATCACCCTTTATGGGAAACACTTATTTTTTAGGTTGGTGCTATTAAAAAAAAAATAAAACGGTAGGCGTTTTCAAAACATCTCTGAACTTTTTTTTTTCAAACTGGGTTGGGGCCGCCTCCTCTCAGAGCTAGTCTTTAGTATTAAACTTTTAAAAGCCTTCGCTGGCTTTGGGAAATAAAATTTTTAACAATTCTCAGTTCTCTTCGAGGTTTGAATTGTTTTCTGTCCTTTAAGGTTCACATATTTTGTGTATGGTATATCTTGTTGGCTTTTGCAGGGCCCCTTAAAATCCAGTAACAGTTGCCATCAGTAAATGCTTAACATGAGGCAGACCAAGCACTTGAATAGTGCAGTGAGGTATAGATACCACTGCTATAGTTTACAATTGAAGAGGCTCAGAGGTTAAGTGGTTTAGGTAACCAGTGAACGGCAGAATAGGGATTCATACTATTTATTTGTGTGCATATTTTAAATGCATGAATTCTAGGGAAAAAAAACTTTACCCTTTGCAGATGCCACCCCTAAGAGTTGCACCAACAAATAGATGACATGAAATTAAGCATTAGTGAATGCTGTTGATACGAAATATGATCTTCAAACATAAAGGAATCAAATGAACAAATTGTTTTGTTTACAGGGGAGGAGGTGGTGAGGGAAAGGTTTGAAATACTCAGGTGAGTAGGATTCCTACAGCTGCATAGTGAAATTTGTAAGGTTCTGGTAAGTTTCTGCAGCTGAAGGACTTCTGCATTCGCCTCTTTTGTAAATACTATGTATTTTAAACGGAAGGATGGTTGCCTCTGGGGAAGGGAACTGGGAACTGAAGTCATTTTGGAGGGGAAGGGGGGCTTCTAGATGTACCTTTTATGCTTTATTAAAAAGTATATTACATATTTTTTAAAGTTTGTGTTTAAATCTATTTGATTAAAAACTTGAGTAAACTGGTTTCTATACACTGTCCAGTGGCTTCAAAAACACAGGTACTGTTGGGAGGCATTCACTTTTGAGCAGCCTTTGACCTCAGTTTTAATCTAATTAATTCAGTCATTTTATAATTTTACTCTTGGTGAGTTTAAACTAGATTTGGCTAAAATAGAGGTGAGAGTGTTGGCCCTTCAAAGACAGTTTGATGTGTTCAAAATTGTAGTGCATTTAAAAGGGTTAGACTTATGTGATATTTTTCCAACATGAGTCAGTACTCATTGCATTTTTTACTTAGGCTCTTGATGTTAGTGGATACTGGTATTATATGCAACTTCTGAATAAGTTTTAAAGAATTTGAATAAGCAGGTGAATAAAAACCTGAAAAGTGGTGAATCAAAAGTTGAGAGATAAGGAAAGGCTAGAGTTGGCATTCAGGGGACACAGTCAAATAGTTTGAAGACTCTGGTAGTAGAATTATGCAAGTTTTCTTAAAATTAGGCAATATATAATATTGATACTAAGAAATTCAGTACTTTTCCGTAGGAGGGCTCAGGTCTCATTGCCTTCTCCCTACCCCAAAATATGAAAGGTGGTCTACAGTTTTGTCATGGCATTGTCAGGGGAGTTGGTGCCATGTTACATTTCCTCTTGTGGCACCTCTGAGAGGTGTTTCTTCATTACCTCTTGACAAGAGTATATTTTGATTGACTGCTCTATGTGCTTGTTTATTTTTTATAGCATTTAAATCAAACGGTATTGAGATGGATTGGGTTATGAAACATAATGGTCCAAATGACGCTAGTGATGGGACAGTACGACTTCGTGGACTACCATTTGGTTGCAGCAAAGAGGAAATAGTTCAGTTCTTTCAAGGTACCTCTAGTATTAGTCAAAGTTTAGTAATATTGTAATTTTATATTTGTATTGTTTCACTGTTTTTAATTTGTAAAACCCATTTTGATTTTGGAACTTTGAAGTTTAACTATGATAGTCTTGGTTAATGTATTAAAATAATATGCTCCAATTAATATTCAATACAGAATGTGTAGAATATGTAAAACCTAATTAATGTGTAGTAACATATTTGAGAATTGTGATGAAATGAACCGTGAATTAGTATATGGAGCATATATTCGATTTGTAGCCTTTTTTCATGTAATATAGGTGGGCTTTTAGAGTGTGTGTAATTACACAGTGTTTTTACACTGGTCGCAAAAAAAGATTTATTTAATCCAGTATTATTTGAAAAAAATCTTTCATTTGTATTTATGGGGTGATGGGAAACTAAGCTTTTTTGTTTTGTTTTGTTTTGTTTAGACTTGTTTTAAATATTTGATTCAGATGGGAATGTTTCAGCCTTTAACACTGTTCCCCTTGATGGGGTTATTTGTCCTTGGGTTAAAGGGTTGGAAATCGTGCCAAATGGGATAACATTGACGATGGACTACCAGGGGAGAAGCACAGGGGAGGCCTTCGTGCAGTTTGCTTCAAAGGAGATAGCAGAAAATGCTCTGGGGAAACACAAGGAAAGAATAGGGCACAGGTGGGGATGGAGAGTTTGGGATGGTGTTAAATTTTTATTTTTGGGGGTTGTGGGTCACTATTGCTTAAATGGGGGGGTAGCCATAACATTTTTCTGGGGTAGTTTAAAAGAATTGATAATTAATCTAAATTTAACTTGGAAACTACAGATTTGGGTGGGGAATTAATGCTAATAGTTAAATTAAAAGTAGATTGTTTCCATTTCTCTGTAGGATGTTGTTGATAAATGCTTTTGTATAATCACCTATTTCCTTTAAAACACCTATTTACTAAAAGAGACAAAGTAAAAATATACTTTATGAATTGTTTTCAGTGACTAATTTTTTTGTAAAACTTAAATATTTAACTAAGTTTGTAGGTTTAAACTGTTAACTTACGGTGTATTTAGGCAATTTAAATTGGGTTATGTATCTAGATGTAGAAAAACTTACTGCATTTTGCCCAGTATCTAATTTACACTAATACATTTATGCTGAAACCTGTACCTTAAAACATTTTTAAATAGGTATATTGAGATCTTCAGAAGTAGCAGGAGTGAAATCAAAGGATTTTATGATCCACCAAGAAGATTGCTGGGACAGCGACCGGGACCATATGATAGACCAATAGGAGGAAGAGGGGGTTATTATGGAGCTGGGCGTGGAAGTATGTATGACAGAATGCGACGAGGAGGTGATGGATATGATGGTGGTATGTGTATCTAATGAACAAAGGTTCTGTTGTCATTTTCTTAATGTTCCTGACACTTTGTCAAGAAATACAGAAATGGCAGTAATTTCAGTACCTGTTAGGTTTTAAAACCTGTTCATGAAAATATGGATTCCCATGGCTAGCTGTGGGACTTGATTGATGCACATATTGGCACCTAGAAAACTTACACAGAAATTAAAATTTAGATGTTGGCATATTTTGACCTTTTTTTGCTTAAGGATGAAATTTAATTTACATGTCTGAACTTAACCTTTTGAGAGTTTAAATTTCCATCACATGTTGACTGCTTTTTTCATAGACTTTAAGTTGGGAATTGCAAACTTGCAATCAAGTTACACATACTGTTTACCACAAAATGTTTTTGTAAACTGGATTATAAAATTTATCTCTGGAAAGTGTGTAGTCATGTATTTCTCCTTAAATTACACAGGTTATGGAGGTTTTGATGACTATGGTGGCTATAATAATTACGGCTATGGGAATGATGGCTTTGATGACAGAATGAGAGATGGAAGAGGTAAAATAAATATTAGACATTTTTATTCATAGGTAAATTTTAGTATTTGCTTTGCAAGCTCTTAGTGGTAATATAGGAAACTTGTATAAGAAAGGTAATTCAGACAAATTTCAGTGCATTCCTATACAGAGCTTTATACCTTGTATAGTATGTATGTATACTTCCCTACCTAGATCTGTAAGAGTTTATAATCTTGGCAAATTGTGTTTTCTAGGTATGGGAGGACATGGCTATGGTGGAGCTGGTGATGCAAGTTCAGGTTTTCATGGTGGTCATTTCGTACATATGAGAGGGTTGCCTTTTCGTGCAACTGAAAATGACATTGCTAATGTGAGTAATTTTTAATAACTATTAGTGGTTTTATACTTATCCTGGTATCTACATTTTTAAGCATTCTTAATGGTCTCGTGTTTATAGCTTAATACCAAAATCCCTTGAATATAAAAATAGATCTACCTTTAACTCTAATCACTGATGGATATTTTTGTATCCATTGTGTGTTAACCTACATAGGATTCAAGCAAGTAAAAAGCGACATTCATGAAGTCCAGTTAAGAATATAATGAAAGACTGATCCGCATAGAATGGTGATGACTGTATACCATGTTGTGCTGGTGTCTTTTGTTGTACTGTTTTTTTTGTTTTGTTTTTTGAGACGGAGTCTTGCTCTGTCGCCCAGGCTAGAGTGCAGTGGCGTGATCTCGGCTCACTGCAACCTCTGCCTCCCGGGTTCAAGTTATTCTCCTGCCTCAGCCTCCTGAGTAGCTGGGATTACAGGCACACTCCACCGTGCCTGGCTGATTTTTTTTGTACTTTTAGTAGAGACGGGGTTTCGCCATGTTGATCAGACTGTTCCTGACCTTGTTATCTGCCTGCCCCAGCCTCCCAAAGTGCTGGGATTACAGGCGTGAGCCAGCACGCCTGGTCTGTATTAGATTTTGAAAGAGTGAATATATAAGTATTAATGATTTGGTTTTGCTTTCTAGGCTAGATAGTGATTAGAAACTGAGGAGTTGAAAATAACAGAAATAGATACTGCTGTTGTCATTGATGTGAAACTGGTTGGTTTCAGATTTGTTAGGAAGTCAGCAAACTTCAGTTGACAGGCTGAATCCGGTCACACCATTCCTCTACCTGTTGAGTAGTTACATTAGAGACCCAATGGCCATTCAGACCAAAAGTACTATCTGGCTTTAAATGCAATAGTTTGCTCTAGATCTTACTGGGAATCAATTGGCCTGAGTTCCAAGTGCTTTTAATGATAGTTTAAAACCTGGCTATCTTGTGATTAGAACCAAATGGTACCTTTTGGGGAACAATTTCATATAGTTTTAAATAGTAGGTTTATTCAAACCCCATGGTTCCAAATCATGATATCCCCATTTCTCTCTCTCTCTCTCTCTGTATTTTTTTGAGACGGAGTCTCCCACTCTGTCTCCCCAAGGCTGGAATGCAGTGGCGTGATCTTGGCTTACTGCAGGCTCCTCCCGGGTTCAAGCGATTCTCTGTCTCAGCCTTCTGAGTAGCTGGGATTACAGGCGTGAGCCACTGCATCCCGCCTATCTCCTTATTTTAAAAGCAGTAAATTCTTTACATTATCCCTAAGTGTATACTCTGTATACATTCACAGAAGCTCTGTAGTTGACTTAAGTTATTAGTCTGGCAGGGCAATTTCCTAATTGATGAGGAAAAATCAAAGTATGTCGTAATTTACTTTTAATATTCTCAATAGAAAAGTAAGTAACAGGTGTTTTCTTTTATTTAGTTCTTCTCACCACTAAATCCAATACGAGTTCATATTGATATTGGAGCTGATGGCAGAGCCACAGGAGAAGCAGATGTAGAGTTTGTGACACATGAAGATGCAGTAGCTGCCATGTCTAAAGATAAAAATAACATGCGTAAGTGATGTCTTTGGCACGTTTATTTCCTCCATGTGAATTTACAAAGTAAGAGGCTCTAAGGTGTGTAGGCAACGCTTGGCAATTGTTGGGATCTAAAACCATTTGACCTCTATAATGGCTTTTTGTGGGCTTTATATATTGCTGTACTAGTAATTGATAAGCATACTTTGTTTAATATTACTTAACTGATCTTTTTTAGAAAGCTTGTATTGATGAATTTGATCCATCATTCCTTTCTCCCGTTACTCTTTTTTTCTTAAAGAACATCGATATATTGAACTCTTCTTGAATTCTACTCCTGGAGGCGGCTCTGGCATGGGAGGTTCTGGAATGGGAGGCTACGGAAGAGATGGAATGGGTATGTAAAGTTTTTAAAATATGCAGGGTTAGCTACTTATCAATGAGTCTCAATTTTTTTTCTTTTCTTTTTTTTTTTTTTAAAGATAATCAGGGAGGCTATGGATCAGTTGGAAGAATGGGAATGGGAAACAATTACAGTGGAGGATATGGTACTCCTGATGGCTTGGGTGGTTATGGTAAGTATCTCTAGTTCAGTTTGTGTTAGTCCCCATATGTAGTGCAAACTTTAAAGTGCAGGTATTACTTTTATTACTTTATGCACAGATATCTCCTGCTGAGTGATTCTTAATATCTTTTTCTTAAGGCCGTGGTGGTGGAGGCAGTGGAGGTTACTACGGGCAAGGTGGCATGAGTGGAGGTGGATGGCGTGGGATGTACTGAAAGCAAAAACACCAACATACAAGTCTTGACAACAGCATCTGGTCTACTAGACTTTCTTACAGATTTAATTTCTTTTGTATTTTAAGAACTTTATAATGACTGAAGGAATGTGTTTTCAAAATATTATTTGGTAAAGCAACAGATTGTGATGGGAAAATCTGTTTTCTGTAGGTTTATTTGTTGCATACTTTGACTTAAAAATAAATTTTTATATTCAAACCACTGATGTTGATACTTTTTATATACTAGTTACTCCTAAAGATGTGCTGCCTTCATAAGATTTGGGTTGATGTATTTTACTATTAGTTCTACAAGACGTAGTGTGGTGTAATTTTAGAAGATAATGGTTCACCTTTGCATAAACTGCAAGTCTTAAGCAGACATCTGGAATAGAGCTTGACAAATAATTAGTGTAACTTTTTTCTTTAATTCCTTCTGGACAACACTGTAAATATAAAGCCTAAAGATGAAGTGGCTTCAGGAGTATAAATTCAGCTAATTATTTCTATATTATTATTTTTCAAATGTCATTTATCAGGCATAGCTCTGAAACGATTTAAGAGGTATTGATTTCTGAATATTCATAATTGTGTTACCTGGGTATGGGAGTGTTGGAAGTTTGTTCTAGCCCTAAATTTTGGAGTAAAATCCCTTCAGCACTTGACCAAAATACCAAAAATGTCTCCAAAAAATTGATAGTTGCAGGTTATTGCAAGATGTCTTAAGAGTAGGGTTAAGGTTCTCAGTGACACAAGAATTCAGTATAAGTACATAGGTATTTACTATGGAGTATAATTCTCACAAATGTATTTTAAGTTTTCTGCCCAATAGAGCATATGGTTTTTAAATAACTGTATAAATGATGACTTTTAAAAAATGTAAGCAACAAGTCCATGTCATAGTCAATTAAAACAATCCTGCAGTTGGGTTTTGTATCTGATATCTGCTTGGAGTTTTAGTTTAAAGAATCTATATGTAGCAAGGAAAAGGTGCTTTTTAATTTTAATCCCTTTGATCAGTATGGCTTTTTTCCAAATTGGCTAATGGATCAAAATGAAACCTGTTGATGTGAAATCAGTTCTTGAACTTGTTACTTGTTTTTGCCAGAAATGTTATTAATAAATGTCAATGTGGGAGATAATAATAGTATGGCGTCTGTCCTAGAATGCTTTGTGTCAGTTACTAATTCAAAAATCAGATTGGTAGAAGGTACTACATACGATGTCTACGATTTAGGAGAGGGAGCCCTGGGGCAGCCTATATATGTGGAGCCTCTTGATGGAAGCTATGATTCATCTTAATGCTTGTACCCACTTCCTTTAATGAGCAATTTAAATAATAGGGCATACACCACTTGTCTTTTTTGAAAGTTACATGTGTTTTATTTTCCCAGGATTACCCTCTTAACATAAGCAGTAAAGGTATATACAGTATTAATGAAACCAAAGTTGCCCTTTTAAAGCAGGCTAATTTTCCAAATCTTTATTTAATTCATAAAATTCACATTTTATTTTTTAAACATAGGTTAGAAGAATTACAATTGTAATTCCTTGGCACCATGATAGCATTATTGTGGTGGTACTGCTAGGTGAGGGAATGGTATGTTAAGTCTGTTTTGAAAAGTAAAACGAATACGAGTTCACAATCACAAAAAAAAAACAGATTGTTAAAAGTTCTGTAACCAAAAAATCCAAAGTCAGCATAGTTTTTAAATAAGCCAAAACTACATGGAGCAAGTTGCTGTCATAAAAGCTGCCTAAAAAAAAAAAAAGTCAGTGGTGATACATGAGTTTTGAAAAGTGAGAAACTTAAAGGGTGACTAAAAATCATGGTTTGGTGAATGAAATCAGCCTTGGAATTTAAGCAACTTAAGTCACATTTAAAAATTTGTTCTAAGCACAGTAATAAAAAAGCCTATTTGAAAATTTTCATTTTTGCTTATTCAATAATCATAAAAATGTTAGCCCATCCCACCTATCAATATAAAATGGTTCAAGAATATAATTCCTGTCTTGAGGACATTTCTATCAGTATTCAAGAAAGACCATCTAAAAATCTGTGTCACATCTGACACCTCAAAAGCTGACTGGAAATTTACGGGTTTTGGAGAAAATAGATCTTCAAGTATACTTAGGCTATTCAGAAAATTTTAAATTTCATAGAAGTATATATTCATGAGGAAAAGATCCTGCAGTATTAATAAGCAACTCCTTTGTGGGCAGGGAGGTACCTAGGATTAACCACTAAATACAATGCTCTTAATCCATAAATTTCCTATGTATTTTTTATAGGCTCACAAACTTAAAGTGCACAGTTAAAAATTAATGTAAAAAATAGGATACTGAATGGTGATAGTGTTATGTGACTATTCAGAGGTAATTTATACAAGTTAAATTCTTGGTATGCCATAAGCAATATAACTTGGATTAGTGTTCAGTAGTCAGCTTGAAATAGGTCAAGTGTACTGGCCAGGTGCGGTGGCTCATTCCTGTAATCCCAGTATTTTGGGAGGCCGAGGCAGGTGGATCACCTGAGGTCAGGAGTTCGAGACCAGCCCGGCCAACATGGTGAAACCCTTTTTCTACCAAAAATACAAAATTAGCTGGGTATGGTGGCACATGTCTAATCCCAGCTACTTGGGAGGCTGAGGAAGGAGAACTGCTTGAATCCGGGAGGTGGAGATCGTGCCATCTTGTTGCGTAGCACTCCAACCTACGCAACAAGAGTGAAACTCCATCTCGAAAAAAAGAAATAGCTCAAGTACGTATATTTCATCATCTCAATGCCCTTGGCATAGAGGTGCTCAATGGACATGGTGAAATTTTACTGTGGATGTATACAGGTAGGCCACTACAATGTGATGCTTCCTAAAATTTACTCCAATGAAAATGTTAATACAAAATTTTTTGAACCGAACTCTAATACATTAGCAAAGCAAAGTTCTGATTTTTTTTCTCACTTCTAACGCTTAGAGGAGAGGATCTTCATAAGGAGCCTGTAATATCTCCTATTATTACATACTTTTTTTTCTGAGGAGGGATTTGTGTTTTCATCTTTGAATTGGGGTCTGAGTCACCCCTTAAAAAATAGCAATTTAGTGAAACAGCATATGGGAAGATCTATAAATCAGGGAAAGAAAGATGGTTATATGTGGGAGGCTGAGGCGGGCAGATCACTTGAGGTCAAGAGTTCAACATCAGCCTGGCCAACATGGTGAAACCCCATCTCTACTAAAAATTAAAAAAAATCAGCCGGGCGTGGTGGTGTGTGCCTGTAATCCCAGCTATTCAGGAGGCTGAGGCAGGAGAATCACTTGAACCCAGGAGGTAGAGGTTGCAGTGAGCCAAGATCTCGCCACTTCACTCTAGCCTGGGCAACAGAGACTCCGTCTAAAAAAAAAAAAAAAAAAAAAAAGATGGTTATATGTAACTTCCTTTCAAGATTAGAAGGAAAAAAGTTGGGGCCGAGGCCAAATAATGCCTCTCTTAATTTAATCCACTGTAGCTGAAAATCAGCAGCAAGCACAACAATAACTGATTTTTAAAAAGACCAAGAGAAAATTTTGTAGGACAAAATATTGGCCCTGTCTAATGCAAAAGAAGCAATGGGAGAGGGGGAGAAGAAAGGGCAAATAAATATAGTTGAAATCTTATAAAGATAATGAAAATCTGTTGAATTAGAATCTATTAATACTTCTAAAAAGTTTTATGCATTTCCAGTCTCAGAACTCTGAAGCTTTAAAGTGCATTAAGAGAATTGCAGGCACCACCAAATTGACAGAATTCAGAAGAAAAAAACAATCTGAAGCCTTATTTTTAAGAAGGCCTTTACAAGATAAGGCAAGTTATGTTAACTCTGCTATCTGGCCTTTTAATGAGCTACATGATTTTTAAGCATGCTGTGTTGAAAATTAATTTTGAATAACAATGGGGAAGGAAATATCATATAACTTGTAATTTCCATGATCTGAATATGTAGAAGATAAACTGGTACCAAATACTGACCGAAAGCTGCTTAAGAAGAGCTGTCTGGTTACCTTTGTATACAACATCATAACATTCATTGTAGGTAATTTCATACATAAGGATTTAGTTCTGGAGTCTCAGGGCAAGTTAGATGAACATCTCTGAATCAGCAATGCATGACAGGAATCACAAACCCGTACTGGTTTTGGTGAAGAAGGCAAAGGTAGTTCGTTGTCAGAGCAGGCATTACAGAAAATTTCCCCACAGTTTCTACAGTGGTGCTATTAAATAAATCAGAGGGGAAAAAATAAAACTTTAATAAGAAGCATTTTTGCACCCCAAATTTTGAGACTCACTTCCTACCTCCCTTACCTTTCTCTTAGAGAGTGAGAATTCCTTTTCACAAAGTTTACAATGTGTTGCTTCTTTGTCTTTCAGCCAAACCAGTCCCTAGTAGGAAGAAAATATTAATGCTCAAATTGGTAACACTAAAAATTATATGTGAAAACTTTTCCCCCAAGAACATTATTTATAGGGATATATGAAGAATGGAAAATAAGTTATTTTCTTTGAGAGATGTATATATTTGTAGATAAAATATGTATGGAATTAGCCTCAAAATATTCTTGGTGGGGGACGGGGATGTGGATTAAGTATAAAAACAAGATTGCAGCCAGGCGACGATGGCTCACACCAGTAATTCCAGCTACTCGGGAGGCTGAGGTGAGAGGATCACTTGTGGTCTAGAGTTCGAGACCAAGCTGGGCGACATAGAGTCTGTCTCTTAAAAAATAAAAATTGAAAAAATGAAAAATCAGGACTGCACATGATAAATATTGAATATAGGCAATGGTTCATTTTACTCTTTCTATACAATTGTGTATGTTAGAATATACACATGTAAAAATGCTTTAAAGAGGTAAAAATCTGTTACTGATGGGAATTCTCTTCAGGAAAAGAAACTTAAAGATTAAAAGAACCTTAAAAGTACTCCAACAGCATTTTATTTTTTAAATGTTTGTGGGTACATAGTAGTTACATATTTATGGGGTACATGGGATGTTTTGATACAGGCATGCGATGTGAAATAAGCACATCATGGAGAATGGGGTATCCTAGTCCAACAATGTTAAAGATAAATTCTCACTGTGTGAAATGCAATAGGTTGGCACTATGTATAACTTATACCTTAAGACCCTAAAATTTGAAGGAAATTAGGGAAATCAGATATTGGAGTTCATTATTTTATAAGACCTCTTTAGGAGGCCGAGGCAGGAGGATTGCTTGAGGCCAGGAAGACTGCCCTGAGGAACACAAACTCCATCTTTACAAAAAAATTAACCAGGCTGCGTGGCATAAGCCTATAGTTGCAGCTACTCTGGAAGCTGAGAAGGGAGAATCGCTTAAGCCCAGGAGTGTGAGGCTGCAGTGAACTATGATTGTGCCACTGCACTAGAGCCTGAGCAACAGAGTGAGACCCTGTCTCCAGAAAAAAGGGGGGGGAAAAAAGGACCTCACCTTAAGAAGTTTTACATGGCTATTTCCCTCAACTTTTATAACATATTTAATAGCTGCTATGTAAACGTTAGTAAAAAATGGATGTAAGTAGTCTTAGGCAGTATTTATAACAACTTGACCTTTTTTTTTTCTTTTTTTTTTTTTTTGAAAAGAGACAGAGTCTCACTCTGTTGCCCAGGCTGTAGTGCAGTGATGCAATCTCAGCTCACCGCAACCTCTGTCTCCCGAGTTCAAGTGATTCTCCTGCCTCCGCCTCCCTGTAGCTGGGATTACAGGCACACGCCACCATGCCCGGCTAATTTTTATATTTTTAGTAGAGATGGGGTTTCAAAATGTTGGCCAGGATAGTCTCAAACTCCTGATCTCAGGTGATCCGCCCACCTCGGCCTCCCAAAGTGCTGGGATTACAGGCATAAGCCACCACGCCCAGCCTACTTGACCCATTGTTAACCAGCTTGCTTAACCAATCTTGGCTAGAAAGACCTTTTTTCCCCTATGAAGGCAACTTTGTTAGATGATTATCAGCTTTACAATGAGAAGACCCAGATGAAGGAGGAGACTCAATACTGATTGATTTCCTAGAACATGTTCCTAAAACAGCCCAGACCAAAGAACCCAAGTATAACAGAAGATTCCAACTTGGACATGGAGCAACTGCAAC